GCTTGTGAAGTCCACATTGATACCATTGGGCTGCAGGGTTCCCAAGCTAAATATGAGATGCTGTTTCTGCAACCTTCGGGTGGCATCGTTGTGGCACTGCAGGAGGCCCAGGATGGACATGTCATCCAAGGAGTGGGAGGGGAGTTCGCGACAAATGACTGCACCTCCCAGTCGCGAACCATTTCAACTCCCCCTAATTTAAAGTCCAATGGTATCAATGTGGACTTCACAAGCCTCAAAATCTCCCCTCCCCTGACCGCTTCCCAAAACCAGCCCAGCTTGTCCCCGCCTCCCTAACCTGTACTTCCTCCCACCTATCCACCCCTCCCACCTCAAGCCCCACCCCCATCTCCTACCTACTAGCCTCATCCCGCCTCCTTGACCTGTCCGTGCTCCCTGGACTGACCTATCCCCTCCCTAACTCCCCATCTACACTCACCTTTACTGGCTCCATCCCCGCCTCTTTGACCTCTGTCTCCTCTCCACATATCTTCTCCTTTATCCATCTTCTATCCGCCTCCCCCTTTTTATTTCAGAATCCCCTTCCCCTCCCCCATTTCTGAAGAAGGGTCTAGACCCGAAATGTCAGTTTTCCCGCTCCTCTGATGCTGCTTGACCTGTTGTGTTCATCCAGCTCTACACCTTGTTATCTCAGATTCTCCAGCATTGGCAGTTCCTACCATCTCTCGTCTGAAGACAAGCTGTTGGTCTCCAGTTAAATTCTGTTTATCATTTCCTCTTTCCCCTCCCCCCGCAACTCCCCCATCCCAATGGGACTGTCTATCCTTTCAAGTCTGACAGGAGACACACCATTGTTCTGCTGTTCTCACATTCCAAGCACTTAATCTGAACTATCAACATCTTTTCTCCACCAGCACTCTAGACCCACTACCCCCACAACCACACACCCCTACTAAGCTTCACTTTAGCTCAGATGCAGAGTCATCTAGACTCAAAACATTAGCTTGCGCTCTCTCCACGGGTGCTGGTCTGACCTGCTGTGATCTCCAGCAATGGTTGTTTTCAGTATAGATTGCAGCATCCGCAGTAATTTGCTTCTGCACATATTTCTTGTTTATTTTGAACAATACATTTGATTGTAGTAGAAGCTAACTACCATTAATTATTCACAGATTCTCAAACAAATAGCACAATTTTTTGGAAACTTTCCTTAATTCCTGCAGAAGTGGAAGCATATAGCTAGCAATGCAACATCCCGGTATTCACCCATTGTGGCACATATAAAGCAAAACGTTTGATGTGGTATCTTTTTTATGCCAACCAATCAGTAACTTCATCATTGCTCTGCAAAGCAGGGTGTGAATATTTGAGAGGGAAATGTTGTGCAGAAGAAAAGGACTGAGCCCAAGTATTTTGAAAATTAGCCGATGTATTACGTACGAAGAGATTAGCTATGCCATGTTTGCTTCAAGTATTAAGGTATTAAATAACTTGCAAATT